GCCAAATATTTTTTCCCTAGTGTGAGGGTTTCCTTTTTACCCTGTTGGAGAAGTTTTTGGATGTGTATAAGGATTTGAGTCTTAGAAGGTCCCATTTGCCTATTTTATTCTCTCCTTGTTGTAGGTTTTTCAAGATGCTTAGAAGACTATTCATATTGTGGAGTAGGGTTTCTAGTGTTCTTTCAAACTTTTCTCTGATGGTTTTACTCTTAGGTTCTTGGTCCACCTTGAGTTGATTTTTATGTATGGTGTTATGTTTGGGTCTTGTTTGAGTTTTCTACAGATAGTTTTAAAATTTTGCCGAAACCATTTGTTAAATAAGCTTTCTCTACATAACTGATTTCACCCCCTTGTCAAAAATCAGTTGGCCATAGGTAGATGAACTGATTTCTCAAAATGGCCACAGGATATGAATGTCTTCACCAAAGATATTCAGATGGCAAACAAACACATGAAGAAATGTTAAAAATCCCTAGCTATCAGAAAGATGCAAATAAAAGCAACTATGAGATATAATCTCACCCCAGTAACAATAGCAAAGTCCAACAGAGCTGCAAACAACGAATGTTGACGAGGTTGTTAAGAAATTGAAACCCTTATTTGCTGCTGCTGGGAGTGTAAAATGGTACAGCCACTATGAAAGGCAGTATGACGCTCTCTCAAAAAGTTTGAAATAGAAATGCCATTTGACCCAGCAATTCCACTACTAGAATATACACTAAAGAAACCAGAGCTGCCACTCAAAGAGGTATGTGCACACTCATTTTTATTGCTACGTTAACTCACAGTAGCAAAGAGATGTAAAGAACCCAAGTGCCTGTCAAAAAAATAATAGGCAGAAAAACAAAATTGAATACTACACAACACTGGAAAATAAAGAATTAATAAAATATTACACAACATAACATGGGTGACCCTGGAGGACATTATGCTGAGAGTGAAATATCTCAGTCACAAAAGGACAAATACTGCATAACACCATTGTTATAAAACGGGCCTGACATGGAAGATTGGGGTGAAACTAGTAAAAGAAAGAATAAACTATAAACACTGCATTGGCACAGATGAAGGAAAAAACTGTTTAAAAGGAACATGTGATTTGGCATTATCTTGCATGATAACTGTCCAGAATAAGAGGTGCTTTTCAAAGTGGATTGGAGGAGGGAGTGAGACTGAGGGAGAAAATTATACAACAATGACTGATTTTTATTAAAAAAAAATAATTGAACTGGAGGGGGAGTTAGGAGGGAAATGTGCAACAATGAATTAATTAAAATCCAACTTTTCTGTAAATTTTCATTAAAATCACAATACAAAAATACTCATTTTTAAAAATCCAAGGAGCTGGACTATATGAAGAAGAATGTAATTTAGGACTGGATGAAGATTCATCAACAACCTGCATTATGCAAATATCACAACCTTGTATGCTGAAAGTGAAAAGAATGTGAAACACTTGCTGCAGGTGATCAAAGACTACAGTCTTTAATAAGAATTATATTTCAACATCAAGGAAACAAATTCAGATTACTGAACCTCAGTGGGCAACATCATGATAAATGGAAAAAAGATCAAAGTGGTCAATGATTTAATTTTATTTGCATCTATAATCAACACCTATGGTAATAGCAGCTAAGAAATTAAAAGACATGTTGCATTGGGTAAATTGTGGTCAAGTACTTCTCCAAAGTGCTGAAGAGCAATGATGTCAGTTGGAAGATTAAGGTGTGCCTGATACAAGCCATAGTCTTTTCAGTTGCTTTCCATGCATCTGAAAGTGGGCAATGATTAAGGATGACAGAAGAGGAATTGATGCCTTTGAATTGAGTATGGAGAAGAGCACTTAATAGTCCATAGGCTTTTTAAAGAACAAACAGGTAGGTGTTAGGAAGAGTGCAGCTAGAATTCTCCTTGGAAGCAAGGTTGGCGAAGCTTTGTCTCACATACTTTGGGCATGTTGTCAGGAGGGTACAAGTCTTTGGAAAAGGACATGATGCTGGAAAAATATGAAGGATTAGATAAAGAAGAGACTATTAACAAGATGAATTCCCACAGAGACTGTGTTCACTTGAGGGTTGCTATGAGTTTTAGTCTACTTAATGGCACCAAACAGCAGGAACAACATGACAAAAACACTAAATGTAGAATTTTATATCACTAATGTAGAACATTAGCTATGGTGCAGAGAGCTGAACCATGAATAAGGATGACAAAAGTATTGATGCCTTTGAACTGTGGTGTTGGAGCACTGACTATCCAGTGGACTGACAGAAGAACAATCAGATTTTAGTAAAACTGTAGCCAGAATGCTCCTTGGAAGCAAGGATGGTGAGGCTTCATTTCACATACTTTGGGCGTGTTGCTAGGAAAAACTATTCATTGGAGAGGGACATCATGTTTGGAAAGGTGAAGGGTCATCAGAGAAGGGAAAGATCTTCAGTGAGATGGATTGACACAGTGACGTCAGCGATGGGCTCATGTGTGTCAGAGATGGTGGGGAATGGTACAGGATAGGAACAGGCTGTTCCTAGGGTAGCTCTAAGTCCTATTTGACTGTATGGCACTAACCGAGTACGATGTGGAACAAGTCATTGCTCATAAAGAAAGGGATTTGAAAAATTGGGCCTTAATGATTTGGAAAGAAATGCTAAAGAAGAAAGAAATAATGAGGAAGAGAACAGAGAGAAGCTGTCTGGAATATTACAGTGACAATACTAACTGGAGTTTTTAATAAAGTATGTCAGGATTTAATTTGCTTGAAAACATAACCCAAACAGATTTTTTTGTGCAAATAATAGGTAAAATTGGGAAGCAGTGAAATATTAAAACAATACAAAGCAAAAAAGAAAGTGGCAATATGGAAAGTTCTTACTAATTTTCTTGCTAATTCTAATGCAAAGCCATTTTAGTAAATTTTTATAAGTGTATTTTGTGTGTATGTGTATATCAAAGTATATCTGTAAGTTTATGTCATGTTTCCCTTCCCTCCAAAATAAAGAGTGGATTTAAAGATTCTGAAAATAATAAATGCACATTATGATTGTTATTGTTGGGTGCCATTTTGACAACTATGATTCACAGCAACCCTGTGAACAACAGATATGAACCTTGCCCTGTCCTGTGCCAGTCTCATTATCTCTGCCGTATTCATACTCATGGTTACCTTCACGGTGTCAGTTCATCTCTTTGATGGCCATCCTCTCTTTTTGCTGACCATCTACCTCTCCAGGCATGGTTTGTGGGGTTTTTTCCTGGTCCTACCTGATAACCCCAAAGTAAAAGAGTGCCATCCTTGCCTCTAAAGAACACTGTTTATATCTCATCCAAGACAGATTTGTTTGTTCTTTGGCAGTCCATGCAAACAAACAAGGTTGTCCTTGAGAGGGTGAAACCAAGTTGCTCTTTGGAGGCACGAATTTTGAAGCTCTGTCTCACATACTTTGGGCAAGGATGTCTGGCTTGGAAGGATGGAGGAGGACAATACAAGAGAGGAAGACCCTGGAAGAGATGGATTGACACAGTAACTGGGGTAATGGGGTCAGCTGAGTCAGAGACAGTGAGTTTGGCTCAGGATAGGAAAGGGTTCAGAGCCATTGTGTGTAGGGTTGCAATGAGTCTCAGGCGACTTGATGCACATAACAACAATAATATGAACTTGAAAAGAATGTTCATTCCGTCATTGTTGGGTCGAGTTGTTTTATTATTAGGTCAGGTTTTTTTTCTAGATATCCACTTGGTTACGTTGGTTGATAAGTTTTCTATATTCTTGTTGATTTTCTATCTAGTTATTCTATGAAGTATATATATATATATGTGTGTGTGTGTGTGTGTGTATTTATGCAATACATATAACAGTATAATACAGTAAGCTAATGTAATAGAATTGATATAAAATATATACAAATATATATTATCAGAGAACAATTGAATTGCTAATAAAAATTGAACAATACTTTAATGCTGACTCATAGTACATAGTACTCTTGAAAGTACTTCCTCTCTTAGCTCAAGATCAGGCCTACTTTTGTTTTCAAATTACTTATTTTTAAATTTTTATGTAACTGTCTTTATATTCCAGCTATTATTTCATGTTATTCCATATAATTCTTTTATTTAAGTTTGTTATTGAAAATCTTTTAAAAAGATATAAATCATTTAGTCATTCTTTAATTCTAGGGATAATCACTGTTGACAGTTTTTTCTGCTTGAATTTATGGGGAAATATGTTGTCGCTGTTAGATGCTGTGGAGCCAGGTACGGTCCATTGTGACCTGACGAACAACAGATCTGACACCTGTTCTCTCCTTGTCATCTTCACACATTCTGACAGCCTCAGATCCATTGATCGCAGCAGTAACTGTGTCAATCCATCTGGTATGGCAGTTTAAAGAGTAAGGTGTGCCAGATGCAAGCCACAGTCTTTTCTACAGTTTTCTATGCATCTGAGAGTTGGAAAGTGAATAAAGAAGACCAGAGAACAATCTAGGCCTTTGAACTGTGTTAACAGGGAACAATTGTGAATCTTGGAGAGCAACCAGAATGCTCCTCAAAGACAAAGATGGTAAAACTTCAACTCATTTATTTTGAGCGTATTCTTAGGAGGAAAAAAATGCTGGGAAAGGTGGAGAAAGAAAGGAAGACCCTCAACACGATGGCTTGACACAGTGACTACGACGGTGGCTTTCAGTGTGACAGGGATCAGGAGGACGGTACAGGCCAGGTTCACATCTCTGTCACAGGGTTGCTGTGAGGCCTAGTCAACTCAAGGGCACATACATTTTCTTTGAAAATAGGGTTTTATTTTGCATATCATTGTGTAAACTATATGTCTCTTTGCACAGTTTATTTTGAACCTCTGTTCCTGTCAATTACTGTGTTATTATTCATAATGGCTCCATAATATTCCATCATAATGTCATCACCAGAAGAGATGAACATGGACTGTAAACATTTCTGATGCCTTTACCTATCATTAAGTACATGTTTTCTCTGTGTTTTAGGCTTCTTCTAGAAGGCCGAGTTATCCTCATAACCCAGAGCTAGGTCCATTTGAAACGTACAGTATCCTGGCATGGATTGCACTGAGGGCTGCTGTACAGGTTGGTGTGACTTTTGTTGAATCTCATTTTTCACTGTCATATTTGTATTCTCCTCCCACCAGCTGTCAGGGTGACACAATGCAGCTCTGCAAGAGAAAGGAAAATTTCCCCTTCTCCGGGATTTCTGCCAATGCTGTTTCTTCGGAAGGGGCGGAAATGCACTTTTTATGTGAAGTGTTTTTAATCTCTATTAGCCATACCTGACTGTTTTCTTCGGCTTTTTTTATTTTCATGAAAATATTGGCAGATATGCATGTGCACCTATTGGACATTTTGGCAAATATCTGTCATAGCTCGGTGAGGTAGGCTATTTAAGGTGACTTATGCATTAATTAAATTGTCAGCCGTAATGATTTGTTTGACTATAATATATACCATGTGACAGGGGATCACATATCATTTTTCAGGTTGTCTACTTCTTTCCTTCTAATATCTATTGAATATTATGAGCACAAGTTTTTTCACATTTTTTTACCTAATGTGTAATCTATGAATCAAAAACCTCTTGTTTATGAGTTCTGATATGTGCACCAACAGGTCAGTGAGGCTGTGCTGGCAATTACTCTGCTTATTGGAAGGAAGAAAGCTAGAGTCGATAAAGTGAGTCAAGTGGCATTGTTAAATCTTCCAAAATTTGCAACTGTGGATCTTTTGTCTTCATATACAGACTATCTGCTTGGTATGTTTGAATGACTATTCTTCATTTTATGAAAACCTGATATTTGTGATACGTGATGAAGTTTCAAAGGCTCAGTTGTGGTGATGTGTTTTGTTTGAGGAGACGACAGGGTGCGTGGGGTCCCTGAGCCTCGCTGTCAATATAAGGCACTCAGTGCGCACGTGCACACCTAGTGACTACATGACAGGTGAAGATTCCATGAGAAAGGAGATTTCTCTATTTTTTCCAGTTAACACAGGACAAACATGACCTAGTGGAAATATTTCCTTGTAAAATTGTCCCTGATAATCTAATTTAAAATATGTATCTACTCTCACACTCTTATATGGTTCCTTACTCTTTTCCTTAGTTATATGTTAATATTCTTGTTTATGACTGTGTGTGTGTGTGTGTGTGTGTGTGTGTGTGTGTGTGTGTGTTTCTCCCATTAAGCCACCATAAAAAGCTCCAGGAAGGCAGACATGATTCGATTTGGCAATTCATTTGTGAGGTTCCCCGGTGGTAGAAATGGCCAACCTGCTCAGCTGCTACCAAAAGGCTGGAGGTCCTAGTTCACTAAGAAGTGCCATGGAAGAGAAGTCTGGTGATTTACTTGAAAACCTCCATCCACTAAGAACCCTATGGAGTTCTACGCTGACACTCTCAGGGTACCATAAGTCAAAATCAACTCAACACCAGCTTGAACTGACTTCTTTCTATAGCAGATCACAGTGTACTTGAATGAAGCAGTTATTCTGTATTAATATTTGTCCACTAGATTGTTGTTGGGTGCCATAGAGTTGCTTACAACTCATAGTAACCTTCTGTACAATAGATGGAAACCCAGTCAGACCCTAGAGTATCCCCACGGTCCCTGGTGTGTTTAAGCCTGTTGTTGCACCTGCCATGTAAATTCATCTCATTGAGTTTTTGTTTTGTGAGCTAAATGCATTAATGAATGTGAAATTATCAGAATTTAAACTTGGGCCTCTGTGTAATATTTGTGTTTTTGCTTATTTTTAACTCATTTGTTAGCTAGTAAACTGTAACATAAACCTCTAAATCATCAACGGTTATGCAAACATTTAGCATTGGCATTGAACATATGTACCTATCCAACCATCATTTGAAACTGAGGACTTCTTGAATGCTTAGAAGTGCTATAAGCAAGATAATAGCAGCTGGGCCAAACTGACATTTCAGTACCATGGAGCTGCGGGTCCGTGTTGAGCCAAAGAGGATGAAGACTTTGACCTGATAAAGGTTGAAGTGACCTTCTTTGAAATCATATCTGATGCAGGAACTTGCCCGGCTGATGCTGCAATACACTTAGCTGCAGAATTGAGATCTGAAATCTTCTTCATTGGCTCTTTCCTGAAAGCAAAGTAGTCCAGACCATTTTCCAGCTTAGCAGTGGTTTGTTGAAGATTTGTTTTCTTATTTCTGTGTCTTTTGTGCCTGGTAGAATTTGCTTCATCAGGTTTCTGAGCCGTGTCCTAAACCTCAGAGTAGGGACTTGGTCTTCTGCAGAATCCTCATGAGGGAACGGAGCACAGCAAACGGAAGATCAAGTCACCACCTGATAGCACAGTCCTTCCTGTTTCCAAACGTTATGCTGCTTCTTCCAAAAGGGGAGATAAAATGTTAATGTCAAGATATTTCGGTTGGCTTCTGATTCTGCCAAACTCTTCAATTTCTCTAAACTTTGTTATTCTAATCTGTATACTGATAGATTTAAATTTACCTATAGATAAGTCTGAAATAGAAAAATTTTTAAACTGTATGATCCAATCTTTCAATATGGCTATTTCTTCTTTATACTGGATCCATATTTATTCCCTCTCCCCCCAAAGGTGATGAAACAGAGTATGGAATTTATCTAACATTATTACTAATATCATATGCAAGCAAAATCTTGCTGAAGATTATTTAAAAATGATTAGTATAGTGTATAGACAGAGAACTGCCAGAAATTCAGGCTTACTTCATAAGAGGCTGTAGCACTAGAAATGTCTTTCCTTATTGTCAGCTGGACCTTGGCTGACAACAGAGAGTACCAGAAGGATGTTGATTTGTGTTTTATTGACTATACAAAGGCATTTGACTCTATGGATCACAACAAATTGTGGGTAACACTGAAAAGTATGAGAATCCCACAATACTTGATTGTGCTCATGTGACATCTATACCTAGACAGGGAAGCTGTCATATGAACAAAGCAAGGGAATATTTCTGATTCAAAATCAAGAAAGGAGTGTATCCATGGAGTTTTAACAATCTATATGCGAAACAGATTATCCAGGAGGCTCAGCTTTATGAAGAAGAATGTGACATCAGGATTGGAGGAAGACTCAACAACTAGTGTGATGCAGATACTAAACCTTGCTGGCTGAAACTGAGGAGAATTGAAAGCATTTTCTGCAGAAGGTCAAGGACTACAGTCTTCAATATTGACTACATATCAACATCAAGAAAATAAAGATTCCCACCACAAGGCCAATTGGCGGTATCATGATAAATGAAGAAAAGATTGATTTTATTAACAATTTCTGCTTGCTTGGTTCCACAATCAACACTTTTGGCACCAGCAGTCAGGAAATCTAAAGACAATTTGCTTTTGAAGTCAGCTGTCAAAGACCTCTCCAGAGTACTAAACAGCAATGATGTCAGTATAGAGATTAAGGTGTGCCTGATTCAGGCCATAGTCTTCTCAGCTGCTTGCTATGCATCTGAAAGCTAGACAATTACTAAGGATGACAGAAGAATTGATGCCTTTGCGTTTTGGTACTCAAAGAGTATTGAGCATACCGTGGACTGCCAGGAAAGCTAAGAGGTCTGTGTTAGAGAGGGTGAAACCAAGATGTTCTTTGGAGGCAAGGATTTTGAGGCTCCGTCTCACATACTTTGGGTGTGTCGCCAGGATGGACCAGTCCTTGGAGAAGGACATCATGCTTGGAGATGTAGAGGATCAGTGCAAGAAAGACCCTGGGTGAGTGGCAGTGGGGTTAAGTATGCTAGAGACAGTGAGATTGGCAGAGGATAGGACAGGGTTCAGAGCTGTTGTTTATAGGGTCACTATGAGTCTTTGTCAACTCGATGACACGTAACAACAACAACCACATCCTAGTCATATCCTGGTGCTTTACTAGTTTTTAGAGCTATAACATGCTATATTAGTAAGTAATTACTAGCATAAGTAAATTATGCTGTTATAAATTACTTGTCACTCCAAAGCAACTTACATGCTATATTATTAAGTACTTACTAGCATAAGTAAATTATGCTGTTATAAGTTACTTTAAACCTATTACAAGTCACTCCAAAGCAACTTAGAACACCAAGAGTTTGTACTTACAGTGTAATAATTTATACTTGTTGCACTTTATGCCTACAGTATACAGTATACCTCAGTATAAATTGAGTTTATATTGGCTCTTCAGTTCTGTTTAAGCTTTGATTGGTTTTGAGTATAATCTACCTGTGTTTTTTATAAGGCCCAGATTAAGTGGTTACATGGCAGGTGTTTTTCTCATGGTAGAGATAAGAGTCAAGTCGAAACTATACCATTAAGCATATTTAAGATACCTGTTTATGCCATATACCATTGACCAGAGCAGCCTACATGGTCAATCCAACACCAGATGTAGGAGAGAAAGACCTGAATGCTGTACCTAAACTATCACGTGTGACAAATTAAATCTCTGCTGAACTTGCGTATATAGAAAAAAGGAAAAGGCAGTGCTGTGATCTATCTGTGATACAAGCCGTGAGGGCAAAATGGAAAATGTCATCCGCAGATGAAGTGATTTAGTTCATCCAGTGGAGCAAGTCGTCTTCACATCAGTTCTGCATAAATATTAGAATTTATGCCTCCCTTTTCCATTTTAGTAACTTTCCTAGAATATTCTAATTTCTTTTCATTGCTATTTCATACCATTAGCACTTCTTTAACTATGAAATTACCAAATTTTAAAGTTCAATCTGTTTTGCATTTTGCCTTTTCTTAAGAATAACAGTTTCACCCTCTGGCTTTTTCCTGGCATGCTGATAATTAATGCATTTTAGTGATTTCCCTCACTTTGGTGTTTGTGTTGAGGGAGGTTCTAAATCCCCACCTGATTGCCACAAATACCCAGATGGCAATGCACTGCAGAATGTAATGAATTGCTAAAAGACACAATCCCTTAACAGCAATAAACAAATTTGTTTGATTTTCTTTACATTACCATAAATTTACATCCCAAAGATGCTAACCTTTTCAGTCACTTTAGCCGAAAATAATAACTAACATTTATCTGTGCTATAGCTGGATAATGACTAAGGAGGGTAGAAGAATTGATCCCTTTGAGTTGTGGTGCTGGAGAAGAGTCTTGAACACACCATGGACTGCCAAGAAAACAAATAGGTCTGTCTTGGAGAGGGTGAAACCAAGTTTCTCCTTCAAGGCTAGGAGTTTGAAGCTCCATCTCACATGTTTTGGGTATGTGGCCAGGAGGGACCAGTCCTTGGAGAAAAACATGCTCAGAAGGGTGGAGGGATAGTGCAGGAGAGAAAGTCCCCAGATGAGATGGATTGATACAGTAACTGGAGAAATGGGGGTTGGTGTGTCAGAGTCAGTGAGACTGGCTCAGGACAGGGCAAGCTTCAGAGCTATTATACATAATGGTCATTATGAGTCACAGGTGACTTGAAAACACAACAAGAAGAAGTTGGTGAGCAGTGTTTCTAGTTATTGTGTCTCAAGCATTGTATCAGATAGTTTTATCTGGAGGAAGGAGTTGCTGCCTTCTGTAAGCTTCCAGTCAAGAAAATCAAAACAGATATAAGAGAAATAAAATGCATAGAAATGATCATATACAAATCAATAAAAAAGACATTAAAAAGAGAGAGAGAGAGAGAGAGCGAGCGAGAGAGAGCCTTAAACTCATAGCTGAGCTTCTAGATGCTATAAATTACAAGTGAGTGAATTGCTCATGTTTCTTCTGTGGAATAGCGAGTGGATCTGCACTCCCTGTCTTTGCATTGGCAGTGCAAC